ACCATTCATAAAGCACTTGTGACCTTGTTTTATTTCAAATATGAAAATTAGGATGTAAGAGATCACATATCGCATTTTGTACTTATTTATGGAATATTGTTATGTATTACAATTTCAAATGGTCTGAAACTGAGTTAAATTGTAATATAAATTTAGTAGTTAAATAAATGCCAATAGGTATCCAGTTTATGATATTTGCCAACAAGATTGATACACGCGGTTTTCCTTTTTAATACAGATATATTTTAATATACAAACAATATACAATATTGTTGATTACCACTCTCGAGAGTCTTCTGCAACTTTGGAGAATAGGCGGGAGTTTCGCAATACATATTTAACACTATAAGCTGTGCATATTTCTAAATGTAAACTTAATCTAAACAAACTAAAATAAATATATAATAATAAATCTGTCACAAATATGAACGTGTAGTAGCGTGTTCACAAAGCTACAATACTGGGGAATTACATTAGTTCACAACATCTTTAGGAGGATCGCTATAACTGTAGGGCCAGTTTAGCCGCCCGCCTCCTCCCCCAAACAAAATAAATAAAAGAACAAAACACTTCGATAACAGATTGGTCGTTTCTTATAGTTTCTCCGAAACTGCATGAGACCTTCCTTGCAATAATCTCTTGATCAGTGATTTGATGCCTTCATCTTTATGCGACTGTTCTCTGATATTCAACACCAAAACATCCAGCCTATCATAGTGAGGGTACCATTATACACTTGGCTTGTTTTTACCGCTTTGTCAGACAAGCTGTTTATCAGTGTAAATGTTAGAATTTGCGCAACTTGACTTTTCGTCACGGATGAATTCCTTTGTTGATTCTTTTCTTACATCTTCGTTCAAATCTTAATCTTTCTGGGTCTGTTTTATAATAAAGACAGATGCGTGAGTCGAACGTTCCACAGTACCCCTTTTCCATCATCCGTGAAGCCTGAAAACAAGGCATATCACTATATTTTAATAAAAATGAAGTAAAAAACGAGTAACATTTGAGAATAAGAGATTAGAAAGCATTTACAAAAATAGCAGTAGGGTATATATATATATATATCATGAATTGTGAAATAAATGTTAAATCATGTATGTTTATAAATCAAAGGTCACAAAGTGGAAATAAAATTAAAATATATTACCTAGAATTGGGATACAAAAAATACAAATTTATGGTTATTTGTTATTATACTTATTATAACAAATATTTCCATGCAGTGTCAGACCAGGCTTTAATTAAGTTCTACCTACAGTCCAAAAGCAGGACTATTCACTTCACCCATTGTGTCACCTGTAATTAAAAGCTCGGAAATTCTCTTATTCCTATTTTTAAACCCCCAACTTACAATGAATTAACTATCTCGAACTGTTAAAATGCATTCTCCAGCAATCGCATATATTACGGTTTGTCTTGGTATCCAATCTGTCGAACCAATATTCCTCTGGGCGAAATTTTAGAAATAACTTCTATCCGACACTTACATATTGATTTAGATCTTGATCTCACCAAAAACTGCTAAATCAGTTATTGTTTAACAACATGGTCTTTAATCAAATAGACAGTGCCATCATGCCTCTTCCCCCGTCAATGTCTTCAGTCTTTGTTTTTGCTGGATTTCGTACAAATTTGTACTAGGGCTTTCTGCGCTAAACCTAATGTTGAAGTGACAGACGAGAGAAAAGACAGCTAATCAACATCATCCACCGCCAACTCTTGAACTTCTCATATCAAATCAAATAGTAGGATTTGACCATCACTCTTATAACGCACTTACGGCCCCAAGATGCGAATAACGATTTTTTTAGTTTGCGGTGATGGAATGCAAAGTATTGAATCTCGTATCTACAGTCTGACACATTAACAATGGGGACGCGCTTGACCTCAAACTTATGCAGTAGTTTTCTATGTTATGTGTTTAGGCATCTGACTCCCTTATTTAACACACGTTGTATAGAAAATACTCTTTGCTCTTTCAATTTATGATCTTGTTTCGAAATTTCTAGAACAAACTAAACTACCAAAAGATCATTTATGATCCTCAAGAAAATGGATCGCTGTTTTTGTGGATATCAAAATAGTTAAAGAAAATAACTTTTTTTTATTTTTATTTTACTTTCTTCGACTGGCCTCAACCATGGAAACTTTATATCAACTAATTTCAAACGTAATCTAGACATGCTCATTTTAAACAGGATCTTTAATCTTTGCTTAAATTACACCAAACTACACAAGTAGGCTACACTTAAGAAAAAAACCCATCAAAACAGAATGGCTACGTAATTAACTAACTAACCTCACATGCAAGTTCTTAATAACATATTTCAACTACGCAGCAAACCGTGTATGTTCTTTAACTACCTGTTTATTTTTTGGATTCTGAATTCAGATTAAAAATCAAATTTTTAGATCGATAAAAAAACTCTTTTTTAAAAAACTCAGACTTAGTATAAAGATTAACTACTGACATTCCTTCGTTCATGATTCATATAAGAATACACGAACTTGTAGTGATAGTAAAGTAACACAAATATATTGGAAAACCAGAACTCCAATGTCCATGTATAAATACTATGGTGTTCCTAGCAGGACCGGTCTTTACCCTATAAAACCCTGTCATTCAGATATTCCATCACACGAAGAAACAACGGATCATAATATATCATTTAATAACTTTATCATCATTAGAACTGGATCATCAGACCTTGAGCTTCATATTAAATAAAGCTGTCTAATCGAGAAATAAATTCATGACCTAAATAATCTACAGAGAAGCTACTTATTAAAACTATCTTAATAATTTGTATAACAATGAGTCAGAACTTCTCTAATCCTGAATTCCAACCAAATAAATTCCACAATGAGGTATCTACATTATATCAACCTCAGGTATCGAATCCAGAAGTTTAACGTTTCCCGTCCTCAATCTTACGCTGAAGCACAAGAGGAATTAGAATAAATTAAAATTTTTACGATGGTTTTATAAAACTATTTCGCACTTAACAAAAGATTGATATAGTTATTAGATAGATTTAATTATCATTACATGAGATAATTTTTTGCGAGTTTATATTTTATGGAAACTAAACTTTTTGTGAAAGTAAGCCACTTAATGGGAACTTTATGATAGTCGGGTTAAAAGTAGCAACTTAATGGGAACCTTAGGATATTCAGGTTAAAAGTGATACGTATTAGAATTTTGAATGGTCTGAAACTGAGCTAAATGATAATTTAGATTTGGTAGTTATCTTGTAAGTTGGATTTAGCAGTTAAGTAAAAGCCGATATATAGTCAGTTTATGATATTTGTCAACAAGAATGATACACGCAGTTTTATTTTTTTAACACAAATTCGTTTTAATATACACACACAACGATACAATTTAAACTAACAGTTATTACAAAAGTTTCACAAACTTACAAGCAATATAAAGTCTTTTTTTCTGATCTGGAACTTCTTCGATACCTTATCGAGGGTTCACGATGAGCGAGTTAATTACGAGTTGACGAAGGTATAATTCACTTAACAGGGAGCTAGCTAGCTTTGTCTTTCGTTATTCACCAGCCACACATGCCGAGTTTTCCTACCGATGACGTTAGGTAATGTTTTCATAAAAGTACTAATATCCGATGTGAATCCACTGAAGTTGAATGATTTGTAATGTTCGAACTTCGTAAATTCTCCTGGTCAAATATCTGAAGTTTTCCGATTGATAAGCATTATAACTATCACAGTTATAGCTCCCAAAGTTTATAGCACACTGACTATAGCAAACTAATAATGAATACTACTTCTTTTGGCGCGTCGTGTCGGTTATATTTATAGGCGTGTGGAGGCTTTCTAGAAAATTCAGATTACGTCAATACAAAACTACATTTAATCGTTTACGTGCATACATATATTGTTGATTCTTACTCTCGAGAATCTTCTACAACTTTGGAGAATAGGCGGAGTTTCGCAATACATATTTAGCAGTATACGCTATGTATGTTTCGAAATATAAATTTAATCCAAACAAACGATGATATTAAAATAAATATATAATAATACATCCGTCACAAAAGTAAGCCACTAAATGGGAGCTTTATGATATTCTAGTTAAAAGTAGCTATTTAGTGCATTTCTCATTCTTATATGGGTTTTCCATCGCCTTCTGCTTTTCAACAGCCTATTATTTTTGATCACTCACATTCACAGAACGTTAGGTAAAGTGGAAATAAAAATTAAATAAAAAATTGCAACACAAAGAGACTTTAAACATTATTCCGAAACTGGAAATTAACAATATGGGTTTTTTATTATATTCATACTTTTTATAACATTAACACTGACAGAAACGTCCGAGAATTCATAAGACTTTATCTTATGTGAAAATAAGGATGTTTCAGGATCATTATTATAAGGTATTCGAAATTCATAGTAAAGAGCGTTAGATAATTATAATCTCAGAAATATATTCGCCACCTATAGCCTGATCAATTGACCTTACTTGCACATTTCCTGTTTAAGACAAACTAATTATATTCCTCATTTTCAAAACGGCATGCTTTAGTTGTATTCATTGTTAACTGGAGTTCGTTTTATTTTATTTTTCGTTGATCTGAAGTTCTAGGTTTGTTGATTTCATTCAGGAAATCAGAAAATTAGACAGCATGTCCTGCGGCTAAAGCCTGCCTTCTTTCTAGAGCTTCTTATCAGTGGTAGTCCAACCAAATATTGAAGCACGAGACTCTGATCTTCTTGCTTCAACGTACAGTGATATAAACGTTAAACACGAGTAACAATATAAAAAGTTCTTATATTAGTTATTTGGAGAAGGGCTGTATACATCATTTTCACGTGCACCTCCCGAGCCACGGAAATATCGTGTTTGTGAACCTTCTGCTTTCCTGGTACACTGCGCAAGCCCAGAAATTAATAAAATCTTCTTTACGGCTCGTAGCTAGACCTGTTGATATTTCTTTCTCAGACTGAACGGTAGCGGTGTACCAAAGGTTACTGGGCTCGAGACCTTGTTTCAACAATGGAGAACAACCACTCTCTGGTAATGATTTTGGTAATTCTAGAAGTTTATAAAGAAGGAGTTTCCAAGATCGAAATAAATTATTATCTATTATAAATATTTTATTTAAAGAAATTTAAATTTAAGAATTAATTATGAGATTATTGTGTTAAAAACTTCTTATTTCGTTAATTGTTCCTGTTGCAAAATGTGTTTTTTAAACTTTTTTGTGGACGTTTTCCTTAACCTGTACAAAGAGTAGTATTTCATACATTTTCTTTTCAATCCGAGCAGCTGAGGAAGAGATGAACAAAGTTTTAAGTTATATTATTGGGATAGTAATAAATTGTTAGTTTATTAAAAGAGAAAACTAGAGAATTTAATTATTTTGTATTTAGGAATTCTAAAAACTTCTTTATTATCCAAACCATATCTGTACTTTTTTCGATAACATCAAGACTAAACAACACCTACGCGTTATGTGATATGAGTAACATTTATACACCTTAAGAAAGACTAAGGTTTGAGGGTTAAAAGACCGTTGAAATCGAAGGCAGTTAACTAACGAGCGGTTTGACCAGTTTTGAAATAATTTTAACAAGTTTTGATAGACTTCTTTTGTAAACCACATAATATTCCTCTTAAAATACTGACAGGTCAGTATTGTTCAACTTCACGGTTTAGTTTCATAAACTTGCTCTTTTTAGTAACCTCAAGTGATAAGACTAATTTATTTTTAAATGTTCATTTCAGAGATAAGTTTCACGTATCCCTGAACTATCTGATTTTTTAGGGCTTGAACAAAGTAACATTATCAGCATCAATTTTGAACATGTGTAAATCTTTAAAAATAAGAAAAATTCAAGTTAATACTGTTACCTTTAGGATGCACGTTTCACAATGGGACAGATTATGTTAACACCATACGTCCTTAATGTGTACAAGTCTTTAACTATAGAATAGTTTGTTTGTTGTCGAGCTTCACACAAAGCTACTCAAGGGCTATCTACGTTAGCCGTACCTAGTTTTATAGGATAAACTAGGAGGAAGGTAGCTGGTCAACACCACACACCGTCAGCTCTTGGGCATTATACAGCCTCACTGACAGGATTCGATCTCGCAACCCGCAGATTGGGAGTCGAGTGCGCTAACCATCTGGCCATGCCAGCTCCTTAAAAAATAGGACAAACTAAAATTCACACCGTTCAGCCTTAAGATGTATAAATGTTTAACAGTAGGAAAAAAATCTTATTAAAGATTTTCATTTTAAGAATATGATGATTTAACAATAATAAAAAATCGGGTTGATGTCATCCAATTTTAAGTAATGTGGTTTTTAAAGAACAAAAACCAATTCTGTATGATTGCAAAATATCTTTGTGAATGTATATTAAAAAGGAAATAAGTTACACTAACGTTGCTCACTGTAAAGAAACAGCTAATCCTAAAAACAGAATGCAGTTTTAGTATTATTGTTTGGAATTAAGCACAAAGCTGCACAATGGGCTATCTGTGCTCTGCCCACCACGGGTATCGAAACCCGGTTTCTAGCGTTGTAAGTCCGTAGACATACCACTGTGCCACTGGGGGGCTAGTTTTAGTAATAACCGCTATTCCTACAACGTGCTTATCTTTCAAATTTGAGAAAATCCAAATAATGCCATCTATTAATAATAGGAGAAATCAATTGAGTATATTTAACCGATATATCTGATTAGTATAACAAAAAATTCAGCTTTCGATTGCTTTATCTTATGAATACGAGGCCTATAGACAGATACACTAAAGGAACACAAAATTATAAATATTAGAAATGTATTAAACATACCAAATAGTGAAGATAATCAGTGAAGATTTCTTCTTCCAAACGGAAAACCGTCGCTCTCCAAGTAACCGTAGCACGGTACATAAACAGAGCACGTGACAGTTTCCGTTGCATTTGCGCAACGTATTAATACTAGTTCAAACTTCTGCAGTATTTCAATAAAGCGATTTTAAATTTCTGTGTGTAAGTTACATTTTTTGCGTGTATTGTTATAGATGAATAAATAGAACTGTATGTGTAAATTTTGAAACAATATATGAAAGTTATTGTTTGTTTTCAATTATGAATTGTTAATTTGTTAAATAACTCGTCGAACCTCCAATGCAGCATGTTTGAATTGTTGAAAAATAACCATTTAGTCAATGCAGTTAGAGCACAATAAATTCGGAAAATACATAGAACTGATAAAAATCGCTGTAAGAGAATAAGAATCACATGGTGAGGATACATCATTTGGCTTAAACGTTGAATGCTTTTCCCTTATAGCAATTCCATAATTTCTTTATATTTTCGCTACTTAGGCTTAGTTTTTTCTAAAAATACACGCATTTAATAGTGTAATATTATTTCAATTTCAGCACGCCCTCACCTGTTATAAGAAACATTTTTGTGTTATACTTCTTTCGTCTTATAGGTAAGGCCAAATATTTTATCACATACGTTCCACACATTTGACACATTAAAAAATATCATATATTGATTTCACATTGGATCGGGCGTTGCTCAGAGATTAGTATGCCTTAACTTTAGAACTGAGGATTCATTGTTCTTGACCCGTTGTTCCATAAATGCGCTCCGCAGTTGGGGCCGTGAGTGAGCTTCGAGAGTGAGAGTCAAGTCTCAATACTCGATCACACAATAGGCTCAAGAGTTGGCAGTGGGTGCTCTTTACTAGCTGCATTTCCTCAAGTCCATAAGCTCTATGTTATGGACGGCTATGCGCAGATAGTCCTTGTGTATCTTTGTGCGAAATTCTGAGACAAACAGTTTTGTATCGATCGTGAATTTTGAACAGGATATTGTGTGATAAATAGAAATAATCTCACAAATTGATCATATAAGACTGCGATGTATTTTATACAATTCGTTATTTTATTGTCATTATTAATATTTCTAGTAATTCTGTTCACAGGAATGAGGTAAACATAGTGTCAATGTGTGTCTCTAGTGGTTAATGTGCTAGACTGTCAGTCTGAGGATCTATGGTTCGCCTTCCATTGCCACAAAGTCGTGATCGCATTGCGAGGCTTTGGGTATAAGTGACGATTAAATTCCACTATTTGCTTAGAGAGTAGCTCAAGAATTGGCGGTTGGTGCTGTTGACTGGCTGATGTTAGATAGATATCTTTTTCTAGTGAAAAATTTTAGAAACAGAATTACTTAAATACTAGCAGGTGCCCATTGAAACAACTCAACGGTAACTTTGAAATGTGGAGTCAACCCAATTCCTTGGATCAGAGCGTATATGCAACATTATTGTCTACTGGACCGTTTACAGCCATCTTTTGTCCTTTCTTGTGTTATTTCAATGATGAAATTTGCATTGTGTTTGTTTATAAGCAAAGGAGACTAACTACAATGCATTGTTGGCAAAAATGTTTGGATTTAGATACAATCTGTTCATCCAACAGAATATAGCGCTCAGATTCGATAAATAGCCACTGATATTTTGTCATTTTACTGAGCGCAAGAAAAGACGCTATTGAAGTGAGCGTTTTTTTTTGTTTTTTTTTGGCAGTTGTCAATTCTATAAGAAGTGTCAAAGGGGAGTTATTCAATTCAGTTCAGGTCAATTTATTCTACATGGTGCAATAAAATCATGCACATATATAATTGTTTGTTTAGTTGTTTTAAATTATGCACAAAGATACACAAGGGCTCTCTGTGCTCTGCCTACCACGGGTATCGAAACCGGTTTCTAGCGTTGTAAGTCCGCAGACATACCGCTGTGCCACTGGGGGGCCACGTATATGATACCGACATGAAAAAATATATAACTATATAAACCGAGCAACAACAAATATATACTCAAACACGTTCCACTTTTTATGTGGTTTTTCCGTTCATGCTCCAATCTTCGAAATATTTCTTTCAATCATTCTACGGAGGAAATTCCGTTTTTTCATGCAATTCCCTCACAAAAGAAACATTTTTGTTCTTAATACGTTTCTTCTCAGTTTGACTGTTCAGCACATACGAAGACTATCGTATCGATTTTGATATTGATGTGAAATTTTGGGAAAATGAATCATTTTCCTGTAATGTGCTCTTGAAATGAGGCATTTTGACATACATATATTTTCTATTTATATATATATGTTCAGGAGATATAGGACGCGACAGACAGACAAACATTTGAGTATCGTATGTATAGATTCTAATGCGTCGTTAATTCCATATCTGTCTCACTACCGTTTTTATCATATAAAATACCAATAACAGCTTACACTGTCAGATCAGTAGTGAACCAACCAATCCATAAAACAGATTTTTACACAAAGATACCGTTTGCACTAGGAAAAAATATGTTAAGCAACTTAGCGGACATTGTAGGGATTTTTTTCGATATATAAGCCTGGGTTTTAATCCTATGACAGATAGTTTAAGGTTTTTCCTATAAATGTGATCATTGTTGTAAGTAATGTAACTAATGACATAACGCTACACTCCACTAGGAAATGTTCTCTGTTTCATTTCCCTGTAACATTTCCTGGTGGAGTGTAGCGTTATGTCATTAGTTACATTACTTACAACAATGATCACATTTATCCCTGTTTCATTTCCCTGTAACATTTCCTAGTGGAGTGTAGCGTTATGTCATTAGTTACATTACTTACAACAATGATCACATTTATCCCTGTTTCATTTCCC